TCAGCCAACTTTGCGTTAAGGAAAGCGGTTTTGACATCCATCTGCCATATCTCATAGTCATGAAATGCAGCAATGGCCAACATCACCCTAATAGACTTTATCTTCGCAACCGGTGAGAAGGTTTCATCATAGTCAACTCCGGGAGTTTGAGTGAAACCTTTCGCAACCAATCGTGCCTTATAAGTGTGTAAATTCCCATCCATGTCGGTCTTCTTCTTGAAGATCCACTTGCACGCGATCGTCTTACGACCTGGTACATTGTCAACCAAATTCCAAACTTGGTTGTCATACATGGACTGAATCTCGCTGTCCATAGCCTCTTTCCATTTCGCAGACTCCGCGCCTGCCATGGCTTCCTTGTAGCTATTAGGTTCATCCAAATTTATTAGTGTATTATCACTAATAAACGTATCACCCTCACTTGTTATATGAAAACCATATAACACAGGCAGAACACTAACTCTACTGGAACGTCTAAGAGGTAAGGATTCGTCAATCGGTTCAACCGGAGTTTCCTCCTCGGGTTGAGCGCCCGTGTTAGAGGTTCCTTCATCGCTCGATTCTTGAATCTCTTCAAGATCGATTTGTGTCCCACTGTCTCCTTGGCTTATAAGTTCTCGCTCTCGGAAAACCCTTCTCCTCGCAACGAAGACAACATTGTCACTTGGTCTATAAAAGAGATATCCAAAGGACTTCTATGGGTAGCCGATGAAAATACACCACTCACTACGAGGCTCGAGCTTGTCGTGAGTCTCTCGTCTTACGAAAGCCTCGTAGCCCCAAACCTTGATATGTGCCAACGAGGGAGATTTCCCTGTCCACATCTCGTGAGGTGTTTTGGCAACCTTATTCGTACGGACTAAGTTAAGGATATGGGCGACAATCTCTAAGGCATACCCCCAGAATGAGATAGGTAGCAAAGCACGACTCATCATGGAACGAACCATGTCTAGCAAGGTTCGATTACGCCTCTCAGCCACACCATTCAACTGCGGTGTCCTAGGTGGCGTCAATTGCGAAACGATTCCGCATTCCTTGAGGTAGTCATGGAATTCAAGACTTAGGTACTCTCCACCTCGATCGGATCGAAGCATCTTGATTTTCCTGCCCAACTGATTCTCCACTTCTTGTTTAAACTCTTTGAACTTTTCAAAGGTTTCTGACTTGTGCTTGATTAAGTAGATATACTCATATCTGTTATAATCATCGGTGAAAGTCACATTGAAGCAGCTCGCATCCTTTATGGTGGATCTAAAGGGCCCACACACATCGGTGTGTATGAGATCCAATAAACCCTCACCCATCGCACAAGTGCCAGTGAAGGGTGACTTGGTCATCTTTCCAAGTAAACAAGACTCGCACACGTCATCGTCCCTAAGGTCGAATGACTCCAATACTCCATCCTTTTGGAGTTGGGCTATGTGTTTCTTGTTGACATGTCCAAGACGACAATGCCACAAGCATGCTTTATCCAAACCATTGGAAGAATCAATACACAACACATCATTTCCTAAATTGTCTACAACCATCATAGTTTCATATATTCCTTTACAAGGCAATGCTTCAAAATAGAAAACACCATTAAGATAAGCATTAATAGAACCCTTTTCATTAGCAAATGAATATCTAAAACCTTGTCTATACAAACCATGAAATGAAATGATGTTTCTTGCCATATCTGGCGAATAGCAACAATTATTTAAATCTAATCCTAATCCACTACTAAGCACTAAAGAGTAAACTCCGATCTTGGTGACAGGCGACGATCTTCTGTTCCCCATGATCAAATTTATCTTCCCATGCTCCACATCTCTATTTCTTCTTAGGCCCTGCAAATCAGAATAAATGTGAAAACCATATCCTGTATCAAGTACCCAAGAAATAGCATGTGACGAATCATTAGATTTAATAGTGTAAATACCTGTGTAGGACAGCTTGATCTTTCCATCCTTGATATCTTGCAGATATTTCGGGCAGCTTCGTTTCCAATGCCCTATTTCATGGCAGTAGTGGCACTCTGCCTCCTTAGGGTTGGAGTTGGGTTTAGCAGAACCAGCCTTGGTTCCACTAGAAGAGGAGCCATTTTGGGACTTTCCCTTATGGTGGCTCTTTGAGGGAGCATTTTCTTCTTACCCTTCCCTTACCCAATTGCCAGGACTGGGGCAGCAGTAGGAGTTGGAGATGATGCAACATATTTATCTTTGAGGTTGCTCTCAGCGGTCCTCAACAATCCTTGAAGCTTGCTCAAGGTGACCTCCTCCTTGTTCATGTGGTAGGTCATGCAGAACTGGTTGTAGCAGGGAGGCAATGAGTGAACGATGATGTCAACTTCCAGCTCCTCATCAAAGTCAACATTCAACTTTAGCAGGCGATCGACATATCTCTGCATCTTTTGCAGATGAGCGGTAAGGGACTCTCCATTACCCATTTTGGCAGTGATCATCGAAGTGATGATCCTGTACCTTTCTTGCCTAGCGCTTTGGTGGTACCGGTCCAACAGATCTTGATGCATCTCATAGGGATACATGTCCTCATAGGACTTCTGGAGTTCTGCAGTCATAGTCGCCAGCATGATGCAATGGAATTTCGTAGCATCACGCTTATGGGCCTCAAAGGCCGCGATCTCATCGAGGACATACTCTTTGTCCTCATAACAAGTGACCATTCGGATGTTGCAGATCCAATCATTGAAATTGTACCCGTCAAAGATTACTCACCCACATATGTTCATGAATGAGAACGAGCCGGAGGAATTTGAGCCGGAAGCGTTGTTGTTGACGTTCAAGATCTGAAAATGAAAAAGAACAAAGTTTGATTAGAAATGAATCCCCAATTAAACACCCAAATGAGAAATTAGGGCTAGGATCCAACAACATTATTTACAAATTAGAAGAGGGATGTCGTAATCTAACAAGTAAATAATTTGAAGGTAAGTGAATGACGATTCACTAATTTTTCCACCATGAAAAACGAAAAAGAGATTAAGTTTTAAATGTGCTGAAAACTCCTAGGTCTTTTGAGATTCATTGAACTTTTCAATGGCATGTTTAAATATCGATATGCCCCTAAAGTTTGTGACTGGGATGCCGAGGATCACAAAGCGGGTGTGAATAATCATGCAAATGTACATGGTGCCCTCAATGTTACAGTCACCTATTCGACGTGCTGGTTAACCACACACGCTCCATCGAACTATGACAAACATCGAGTCACCCTTTGCCACCTTTGCTTAGAGCCCAATTAGTGTGACGGTTAACCACACACGCTCCACTAACATCTTAGCAAGGGTACAAAGTGTAATTTCATGGAATTGCATCAATTCACTTTTGCCTAAAGTAACTAAGATTGGAAATTTTGTAAAAACATTTAGTTAATTTATTAATTCATTATACTTTTAATGAGGAAAGGGTTGCCCTATCCTACCCATTCGGCTAACGACCCTCCACCAATCAAGGAAGCGGTGGGTGAGAGTGGACACCCATTAAACGACCATTTTATAGGTCATAACCTTATACCCCCCTTATAGATCGACTTCGTGAATGAGGCCTACTAACGGTAAGACTAGCATTTAAGTTATACATACATACACACACACACACACATATATATATATATATATATATATATATATATATATATATATATATATATATTAATCTTATAATATTATAAAGTATAAGGTTGAATTTTAAACTTGTAAAATTCTAGGGTTTGAAATTTAAATAGTTCAAATTAAACTTTTAATTAAAATTTAAATTTCAAAACTTGAGGGCAAGTTTTGAAGTTTTCAAAACACATCGGATCAAATTGCAAATAATTTAAATTAAACATATAATTTAATGATTATCTAGATTGGATCTATTCTATTTTAATCACAAGATAATTCATCAAATAAATCTAATAATCAAATTTTATCATATAAGGAATTTATTATTCAATTAAATGGTAATTATCTTTTGTTTTGGTAAGGATAATCTCATAATAATAATAAAAATCAGATTTTATTAGTCAAAAACAGTTTTGGTAATTATCCTTCAGCAAAACAGCAAGAAATCCCGAGATATATCTTTGTCTGACAGCTAAACTCGTCGAGTTCCCAGTGAGAACTCATTGAGTTCAACCAACTCGTCGAGTTCTCATTGGAACTCGTCGAGTTCTTCAGACAGAGGGCCAAAAAACGAATTTTTAAATCATGAATGAAATACTAGGCATCAAATACAATAGAAAACAGACAAGGCTCTGATACCACTGATGGGTTTGAGCCAAAAGAACATCCTATGTGCTCATGCAAACCCTAATGCTTGGATCTAGGTTTCTCTATTGTACATGCAATTCATCCAAGACTTACAAACCCTAGATCTAGTGTATATATTTCGAAATTGACACAATACCTCTTCTTCAAAGGCTTGAATCTTCTTGTCTTGGAGCTTAGAGTCACAAGTGTCGCTCCTCTAATGGCTTACAAACACCACAAGCAAGAGGATGCTAATTGAGAGAGAGGGGATGGCACAATTTCGGCTTCTGAAGACTCTTAGGGTTCAAGTCGCCGAAAATTGGATGCCCTGGGGTCTTATTTATACTGGTGCTGCTAGGGTTTCAGTCAAAACCCTAATAGATAGCTTAGGCCTTAAGCGGTCCAAGGAAGCATCTGGAATAGGGCCTCTTGGCCGAAATTAGGATGGACACGTCCCTAATTTCGTCCAAGCTTTCTCAACCCAATACTCAACTATCATACATTTGACAGTTTAAGTCCCCGTTACTTAATTAATGTCTTTTAGCCACAGAATTAATTCTTGTCTAATATTAATTAAACTATATGATTTCTCCTTTAATATATTATTCATATAATATATTAATAAACCATAATAGCCTCTTACTTGATAAATCATCCTATCATGTTGCTTTGGTGAAGGCAACCCAAAAGGACCATGCACAACCGGGTCAAGTACTTACCAAATATAGTTACGAGCTTAGACACTAATCCAACACCATTGGTTACGATGTGGATAACAGATAAGTTGAAGGAAAGACAATCTTTTGAGATTGAAGCTGGTGGATTTGGGGTTGGAAATCTAATTGAACAAAGTTCAAATTTAGAACGTGAGAAGAATGAGAATCGGGACACACATATTGAGGTATATTCTAAGTAGAATATATTATTAAATTATGTTTTAGAATATATTTTAATTATGTCCTAACTTAATATAAGAAAAATATTCTAATATCTTTTTTTCCCAGGAGTATGAAGAAAAGTATGAAACAATTTTCAACAATGTTTCAACTGAAAAGGATAATCTGGAAGATATTACTTTTCATTGTCTATCGAAATTCCCTGAAGACAATAGAACGAAGGAGATGATAAGGAAGTTTAGAGACATATTTTCAACTACACTTTTTTCTAGTCGAGAGAAATCAGAAACTATTAAGGAGAGAACTGGAGTCAAAGCAGATAGAGATGAAGAGCTTAATAAAACAAACATTTCTGATTTTGATGATGATAAAGATGAAGGAATGAATACAAAGTTGGTTTCATTTTTAACTGTTAAACCATTACAACAGAAGTTTCCAGATAATGAAGAAAGACAAGAAGAAGATCAAGATATGAATGTTGACGACCCAATAAATTTGGGTTTAGAGAATAATATTGGCGAGGAAACTATTAGACATCCGCACAATCCAGAAAGACAAATAGAATTTGAAGGCATAAATGTTGATGACAAAATAAATTTGGCTTTAGAGGTGAATAATATAGACGAAACTATTGGAAAAAAGAATTTAGAAGAGAATGTTGAGTGCAAAAATCTTGTTGAGGGTGGTGAAATGATTGGTGGAGAGAAGATTAGGGAGGGGAATATTGTAGAGAAGGTGGTTGGAGACAACATAGGTGAGAGCTCAATTGTTACACCAAAACATGATCCAAAAGGTATGAATATTGTAGACAAGATGGTTGAAGACAACAACATAGGTGAGAGCTCAATTATTACAACAAAACACAATCCAAAAGTTATATCTATTGATTTTTCCCCTTGGTCTGATTCATTCATAGAAAAATTAGATGAGGATTTGTTTAGAATATTCTCAAACAGAAATTTAGATTCAAATACAATTCCAAATCCAGTTGTCAAATCTCCTGTTCCAAAAAAACTAACATTTGAAAATTCAGAATTTCCTTCCTTTGATCTTCAAATAACCCAAATAATGAACGATGCAGAAACTGGTGATAATTCTGAGGGTATTGATGAAGATGGAGAGTTAGAAGGGAATGAAGAACATATTTTAGATGAGAAAGGGAAAAGGGTCAGAATGTGAATGAAAGAGGGAAAAGGAAGGTGACTAATCTAGATATTTTTAGATCACCTTTTGTGAATAGGGTAATTGAATTAAGTGAAAAAGTCAGTACTGGGCAAGAGATAATGGCGCAAATCATGTTTAGATGCGCTGGAGACAAAGATCCAATGTAAGTAAATTCACAATGTTTAGTAATTTTTTTTATTAGATATGCATATTCTTGAAGGAATACTTTTATAAATTTGAGTATTGTGTAATATTCTTATTGGAATATTGTAACACTATTCAAAACCAAATATTATTCTAATTAATTTACATTAGTTTTAGTTAAATAATATATTTTAACTATAATGCAATATTTTTGTTTGAAGGGAAATGCTATTTGAAACGGAGTCTAGAGACATAATGGATAGGGTGCATTTTGAGGGTATGTGTCCAAATCATAAGATACATCCTTTCGTTTTTGATTGTTGGGCTGTTGTTCTTAATTTTGAAGAAGAAAACCTGAGAAACAAAAAATCACCACTACGTGTCTTCTTCAACACTCAAATTATGGTACTTAATTTTTAAATTTATTTTCTATATTCTAAATATAATTTATAACAAAGTATTCTAATATTTCTATTGTTCTATATGTACAGACAGAAAAATTATTGGATTCTTCAATACCTTCTGTCGAAAGATTCTGACTTTTTGATGAGGGTGTAAACAATTACTTATATGACATCAAAAGAAAAGTGGATTTCAATTCTATTAATCTGGTATGTATTGATTACAAGATAACATATTAATATTAAAATTTATAAAAATCATATGTATTTATGTTTGAACTACAGGTGTTTTTTCCAATACACATCCGTGGTCATTTTTATGGTCTTCTTTTCAACCTTACAAATCCAAAACATATAATCATTGACAGCATAAGATACACCAAAAAAGTAGAAGATATCTATGGAGAGATTCCTAAACTTGTGGTAAATGTTTCTTGCGTAAATCTAAAATTTTTATTCTAATCATAATTTTTTACTTTAAAAAAACCACTCTGTATAAGTAAATAAATTCTGATTAGAATATAAAATATAATATTTATATTCTTATAAGATTTATTTACTTAATATAGTTATAATTTTAGAAAAATAATGGTATTTTATTAATATACATTGCAGCAAATGTACTTTTCAAAGTTTTTGGACAACAATCGGCGGGATAAGGTTTCTTTGTTTAAATCTGTGAAGCCAAAGAAAATGAAAATGAAAATGGCAAACAAAAGCTAATACAAATGATGATGGTATATTTTTAATGAGGCACATGGAAAAATACATGGGTGAGAAAGAAGAAAAGTGGGATGTGGAACTGGGAGAAGAAAGTGTTAGGACATCTAAGAAGATTGCAAAGTTGCATACATTTTATGTTGCTAAGCTAGCAAACCATCAAATTAAAAAGCAGAGAAAATTGAATGTTGCAGAAGCATTGGAATTTTCAAAACTTGATAAGAAAATCAGGTGTATGTTGGTGAAAGAAGGGAGTGAAGGAAGAGACAAGCTGGAAATGAAGGAAGTTTGAAAATTTCTTATATTGGCTTATTACATACAGACAATTTATTTTCTGTTGTGTTTTTTTTTAAAATACTTATGTTTAAGGATATGCTTAAACCATTGATATTTTGGTAAATGTATGCTTAAACCAGTTAGTTGGTATCTTGATAAAATATTTACTGCTTAATAGTAAATGTTATATAGCGTTTAAAATTTTTGTTTGATGATGCCTAATTATTTGATTAAATAATTGTTTGGTAAAATGATAAATGATTAAAATCCATATATGTTTATTATTCTTATACAATAATGTTGAAAAATAAAAACACGTATTGTTAATATTGTATTAAGCTTATTCTAATCTATTCTATGTTAATTATTTTGTTTATTCTGGTTTCATTAAAATACTTAAAAATAAAACATTTTATTATCAAACTATAATATAATATGTAATTTTGTTTTAGAATATTTTAATAAAAATAATAAATAAAATTAGATTTAGTATCCTGTTACAATAATAAAAAATAGGATAATAAAATTTTAGTATATTTTAGGACATCTTACTTTAGAAAATAAAGTACATTGTCTCTATTAGTAGAAGTAAAATTTTAGAATAAATGAAAATATTTGTTTTAGAATATTTGTAATTAAGTAATTTTATTTTAGAATTAAAATAATATTTGAACCAAAGTGTAAGTTTTTAAAAGGGACTAAAAATACTAGGACTTATTTGTCAGGGACGAAAAAGGGGCAAACGTAATAACTTTGAGATTACGACTTATTCACGAGGGAAGAACATTAAAAACTCTATTTCTTCATCTGTATTCTCAAAACCCTCATCCAAACTTCTTATCATCTTCGTTTTTAACTCATCAAACACTTCATAAAAACCCTAACGTCTTGTGATTTTGAACTCGTCATCTTCGATTTCTCTTTGGATCGATTTCATTTTTCGATGTTCTGCTCTTTAATCCCTCGATAAAACCCTAAACTTACTTATTTTGATTCTTATCGAATATTTCTATCAAAGAAAATGGATACATCAACACGTGCTTCAGAATCTACACCATCAGATCATCTAAATGACATTATTACCAAAACTTCTCAAGAAATTCTAGGTATTTTCAATAGTTCTATTAATTATCATTATATATCTTTGTTCTCGTATGAAAACAAGGATGTTGCTTCAAGAATTGATCTTCTATTGTTGCTCCATTCTCCATATCTACATACTGTTAGTGATTAGGGTTAGGGAAATACCCATTATTAGGATCATAAAGTGAAATAGGTGAAATGAAATGAAATAAGATGCAAGATACACCGTACCTTCAAGAAGCAAGCAAAAATGTAGAAAATAACATCAAATTAATCTGCAAAATTGGTAGTAATCAAACCAGCAAGAGTAAGGACCTTGTGAAAATGCATGGATTGGTTTTATTTATTATTAGTTTCTCATATAACAAGTTAGTCAAACCCTAATGGGTATTTGCCTAACCCTAATCACTAACGGTTTGGAATTAATTATTCGATTACGTACTTAAGTCGTGATAATTAAAGTTTGGAAGAAAGTTTCCATATAATCAATTTGATCGATTTTTACCTTATGCAAAGTATTGAAGATTTTACCCCTGTTTCAAAAATGGTTGGTTTGATAGATTTTTAAAATCGTTTGATTGGTAGCTTGTTGAATGATGAAATTAGGTGACAATTCCCTGGTATAAGTATTATGATGAGATTTTTATTTTTCTAAACAGAACAAATAACATATGAAGGAAAAATGATGATCAATTAAAGAATGAAGAAAATACTTTTAGACTGCTACACTTTTAAGCTCAATCTTTGACTTTACAGTTTATAATTCTAATATTATGCAGCTGTTTGTACTAACATTAATTATTTTCATGCAGCTAATATTATAACAAGAATGCCAAAATCAAAATAAAAATGATGACAGTGGGTAGAAGTAATGAAGTTGAAACTTCAACAGGCAAATGGTTGGTTCAAAAAAGAAAATCATCGAAGTCTATCGATGAATCAACAGCTACAACTTCAAAAGAAAAAGAAAAAAAAAGTACATCATCAGTTACGATTTCTAAAAGAATAAATGATATATTGTGTATTCTATGTATTCTAATAAAATATTAATCTCATTTGTTTATGTTATTCTATGTATTATAATAAAAAAATTATATATTATGTTAATGTTTTTCTATATTCTATTAATCTTATTCTAATAGAATATTTTTAAATATTAAGCTAATTTGTTTCGTTGTTCTAATAGAATATTTTTAAATGTTATTCTAGATATCTGGATATGATAAATCATTTATTAATTCCTAATTTGATTATGAAAATGACAATAAACAGCAAGAAGGTCGGATATGGGTAAAACTCATGCAAAAACTTCAATAGTCGAATGACTAATTGAAAGAAGAGAATCATTGAAGCTTATTGATGAATCGGCCGATACAACAGCAAAAGCCAAAGAAAAAAAAAGGTATATCATCAATTATTGTATTTGTACTATAATATCTTGTGTATTAATGTTATTCTAATAGCAAGAATGCCATATATATGTAAAATTCATATTTGTTATTATTGATTATGCATTTACAATTAGAGTTAGCAGAAACATTTTACATAGTTCTTTTTAATTGGAAATTTTGTGTTGACTAATATTAAAACTTCATACTTTGTTAGAATCTGATTTTTTGTAATCATTTTAGTTGGTTTTTCATAGTTTTTTTGCCAATAAAATAATTATAGTTTGGTGTTTGACTTTGACTTCCACCATTAATTATAGAATGTTGCTGGATTTTCTGAAGTTGTCAAAGTTGGTGTTTGACTTTGACTTTTGCCATTAATTATATGGATGTTTGGTGTTTGACTTTGACTTCTGCTATTAATTATATTGATGTCTCAACATTCATTGGCTTCTGAAACATAGTAGACATATTCATATAGATGTTATTCTAATAGAATATTCTGAAGTGTTAATTTTGTATTCTATTTTTATGATGTTACTATCTTTTTTCTAATATTATTTATTCTAAAAATCCAATGAACAATAGGGCAACAAAAGGTGCATTCTTAAGATGAAAAAAATAAAAAAAAGAAAGATAGACAATACGAATGATAACATCGAGAAAAGGACACAAAAAACAACAAAATATTTATTAAAAGATCTGCCTTCAATAAATACTAGAATGAATCCCAGAGCTATGATTGAAGTTATATGAAGTTTAAGTATGTCTCAAAAAAAATATGTAAAGAAGATGGGTTTTGGATCCTTTTTGGAGTTGAACATCAAGAGAATTCCGTTGAAGCTTGCACATTTTGTTGTTTAACATTATGATCATCAAACGAACAATATTGTGCTTGATAAAAAAATTAAGATCACAAAATAAAAGATTCATAAAGTCTTTGATCTACCAAATGGAGGAAGAAGCTTGTTTGATTTTCATTTTATTGACAGTGAGAATGAAACGTATGTTACATGGCAAAGCCAATTTACAAAAGAAACAATGAATGCCACTGGATTCAAAGAAGCCATTCTGAAATCCAAAATCGACGATGATATCTTCAAGCTAAATTTTCTTTCTTTGTTTGTGAATACATTTGTTGAATCACATTCTTATGGGACGTGCAACATAGATCATGTTAGAAGAGTAGTTGGAGTTGAAGACATCTCATGCATTGATTGGTGTGCGTACTTAAATTATTGTCTGAAGAATACAAGATCTCTATGGCATCAAGATAAAAAGAAATGCTATTATAATGGGCCAATGTTGTTATTGATGATATGCTTTTTGTTTAATTATTTTAATTATTTTTTATTTATGAATATCTAATACAATTTAAAAACTACTATCATGCAGCTACTTTACTGTGACGGTCTTGAATGTCAGCGTTTAATCTTAAAGTCAAAAATTCCAATAATAACAATGTGGTCAATAGAGGATTTGAATAACAGGCAGTCTTTTGAAATTGAAGATGGTGGGTTTGGATGTGGAAAAGTTGTTATCACACAAATGACGAGAGATAGCGAGGGATCGTCCAATGTGAAAGACAATCTTTATGACACTCTTGAGGTAACTTTAACTAAAATATAAAATATAATTTCTTTTTATATTAGGTTAAAGTATGATGTTATAAAAAATTCTGGATATTCTTATATTACATGCTTATGGTTCATAGTAAATATTCTAGATATTCTGAGATGATAAAATATTACATTCTTATAATTCTAGTATTTTATTATTTTTCAGGAATATAAAGAGAACTTTGATAAGATGTTCAATAAAGTTTCATCCATAAAGAAGGACATGTATGGAATTGTTTCTGATTGTATATCAAAGTTCCCATATGTCAATATAACAAATGAATTGAAAGAGAAGTTCATTAAGTTATTTTCAGATCCTATTTTTTCAACTGTTGATAATCAAAACAATGAAAACGAAAAAAAAAGGATCACATGAAAGGGTTGAATCTCAAAATCGTGACACATGGGAGAATGATATAAGTTCTTACAAATCACCATATATGGATAAAGCTGTGAATTTATTTCATAGAATCGATTTGCAGAATGTTCTTTTGATTCAGGTTCTAATAAAATGTACACAGGATAAAAACATAATGTAAGTCACTAACTCTTGCTATTTCAATTAAACATGTATTATTTTTTTGAATTCTTGTTTAACTAAAATACATGTGGATATTTATTCTAATGTTGATGACATATTTTTTGTTCATGTTTAAAATTAAGGGAGGTACTTTTTGAAACAAATACGGGAGAGGTTATGCATAGACAGGATTTTGAGAGCATGTGGCCTGAACATGTTCATAGTGTGATTGATTCTTGGGCTGCTGTTTTAAATTACGAGGAACAAAAGTCAAAAAGTAAACCATACCGCCTATTCTTCAATACCAAAATTATGGTAAATTCTTTTACAATTGGAAATTTTATATTTTAGTTGTAAATTATAACAAGATATTCTAATTTTTCTGTTTTTCTATGTTTATAGAGTTTTGAGTTATTAGATGAAACTAAATCTTTTGACGAGCTTTTTTTAACTTTTGAGACTCGTGTTGATAAGTTTCTATCTAATTTCAAGGCAGATGTAGATTTCAATGATCTTAAACTCGTAAGAATATTTTATTAATTAAAATATTACATTATTAAAGGATAGGAATTATGTTAACTTTTTGATCAATTTGTTGGAATTGCAGGTGGTTTTTCCAATACATAATGGTGATCAGATGTATGATGTTGTTTTCAACCTAACATATCCACAAGTTCATATTATAGACAACATAAAAACAAAATCGTTAGAAGAAACGTATGGAATGACACCTACATCATTAGTAAGTTTCATTTACTTTTATTAAATATATTAAAGTTACAATATAATAGATTGAATAATGTAATTTTGTTAATATGCATTGCAGAAATTGTACTTTATACGATATCTGGAGAAAACTACATTTATTGTCAATAAAATCAAAGGTTTGCGATCAACAACAGTGAAGATGATAAAAATTGACCGGAACACAAAGAAGTTGACAACAGAGAATGGAGCACTTTTAATGAGACATATGGAAAAATATTGTGGAGAAAAACAAGGAAAGTGGAATGTGGAAATGGAAAAAGGCGGTGATGTGCAATTTATAAAATTACGTGCTTTATATTCTGTTAAGATTGCCACAAATGAAATCAACAACCACAAGGAGAGAGTTATCAAAGAGGCAATCAAATTTGGAAAATTTGATCATGCGAATAGAAGAAAGATGTTAGAGGAAGGTATAAATAGAATGGATGAATTGGAAATGGGTAATAAATAGAATTTGATAGAAGTTTGGAATTTTATAAACGTGGTTATGGTGACTTAACAACAATTCCTTTTGTAATATCTATCTTATTTTGACCAAATGAGACGAAAAAAATGATGCCTAGTATTATGTAAGAAACTTGATATGGTTTATTAGGTGATTAATGCTTAATGTATAGTTGGTATTATGATCACTTCTTAATGGTCATGGTAGAATATTCTATAGTAAACAAAAAAATTAGAATATTCTAACAGAATAATGTTTAATGGCATCATTATTCTATTAGAATAATATTAGATGTTGCATATACCTATACAACATTCTTACATGTATAATCTTGTATTATACTAATTTGATAACAAAACATTATACTGCAATCATTCGTATATACTTCAATGCAAAAATTAAAGATTGAAATATTACAAGAATCAATATGTAAGTCCCTAATCTGCTTGTGTATCAATCAGATCCGTTTGATGGTGCGGAATCCCAATCAAACGGATGATGTCAGATCAAATAGAAGAGAAGGAGAAGAAGAATAATATGAATCTCAATGTATTGATGAATAGAATGATGATCCTTTACATGAGATTCACACACACTAACACACACTTGTTCTTCTCTCTAGTTTCTCTCTCTAGAACACCTTAGAATACACACACATAAGCTCCTCTAGACCGTACACTCTCTATCACCCCTCACCCTATATATAGTTGGGAAACATGGACCGTAAACAGGTTTACGGCCGTAATCCTGTTTACGGTCGTAAACACAACCGCAAACATTGACCGTAAACACATATATGACCGTAAACACTGAGCTGTTTATGGTCCTAGATATAAAAATACATTTTCCTAGAAAAGCAAAGTATAAATCATATTTTTGACCCAACAATCTCCCCCTTGGTTTATTGCTTTCTTTTCTTAATTGACCCAACAGGCTCCCCCTAAAAAGGTAGCTGGCTTTTCTTGATAATCTTCATTGGGAGCTTGGCTTCAGCATTTATCTTTAATTTCTACACAACATCAAGATGAACATATGAATCTTCAATGAATGACTTCATCTTGAGCAGTTAGGCTTTTCTTCAAAAATTTGACTTTGAACGCACATTGGGTGAGGAGGCTTGATGTACTGATTCTTAAAAGATAGGGCTTTCAGCTTGAGAATCTTCAGAGAGAACAACGGAGAGAAATAATCTTCTGGATCACTTCAGCAGGTTCAAGATAGCAGCAGACTGATTGAGGAGGCTTCAATGCAATCCGTCACATAATCTTCAATTTCAGCTTCACCTTGCTTCTTGTCACACCCCCAAACCAAGGATGGCGGAAACGTCCGGGGGTGGAGGACTTCATGTATAGTATCACAACAACGAGTATAATAGTACTCAAAGTAAATACAACCATCATAAATATAATTGAAAAGGTTACACCATAGTATATGTTTACATGTTTCAAAATCAATTACATTATGATGACAAAATGAACTGTTTGACGATTTAACGTCCCATCCTCAAAGTGCTGATGTTTTCCTGTTTCACTGATTTCCTGAGAATACAAGTAGTTTTGAAAAAGTGTCAACAATTAAGTTGGTGAGTTCATAAGAGTTTTGTTTGAGAAATAAACCGTTTTCCTTGTAAAAGCGACAAAGTATGTTTCCAGAAAATCCAATATTTTCTTTATTAAGTGAAATGAATGCTTCCATCTTATGCGGTAATGAACCCTAGAAAGACCCATAGATTCCTTCTATAATCGCGTAGTGTATATAAGTTATATAAAATTTAAGTTAAATAAACCGTCGAATATAATGGGTCTGCCCTAGGTCCACAACCAAACAAGGAACAGGAAGTAAGGCGGGCCCACCAATTCTAAGTCGATTATGACTAGATTCTTATATAACTCTAGCATATACACATAGCAATTCTAGCTGAAGTATAACAATTCTAGATGAAATATAGTTTTAACAGAGATATGATTCCAAAGAAAATCTTATATTTTCCTTATAAGAGTTATGTGGTCCTAAATCCCAGGACCGAAAATAAACAAGTATTTTACCATACTTAAAGTAATTCTTGCAAGTTTAAATCGGCATAAACTCGTTTAGTTTAGAAGTAAAACCCCTTTTCAAAGTAGAAGTTTCCATGTAAACTTGAAAGATTGTTAACTACCTATGTGAGTCGCTATAACCATACTATGACGAGAAATAACCTGCACAACGTTTTTCAGACGTTAAGATACTATGACTCTTGTCACCCGTAGACGTGCAGGTCCCGCTGTAGCTAGCAGCAAGGTGTGGGGTGTCAAACCCAATATAGATCTATACACAATTATCACGCTCTCCCTACAAGAGACTCTGGTTATAACTTACAGGAATTGGGATCCCGTACTCGAACGTACGGGGAGAGAATTGCCTCACAACCTAAGTTAACTAGTTTACACATAGTTTGATATTAAAACCTCTTCCGTGGAGGAAGAAAAATCACTTTTTCTGAATAAATTAGTGATATGAAATCCTTAAACTATTACTATTATAGTTTATCACGTAGGATATGAAAAACCCATTTGTTTTGAGAGTAAAACCTTTTTCATGAAGTAAAAATCCATAAACTATGTTTATTGAAGTTTATTATATGTATTCGAAATGAATGAGTAAACCTTATCATGAATGACTAAATTTCAGTTTATGATGATAAACTAACAAGATAATACATTCAATATTTAGAATTTATGGTTATACACTTTGCTCAACATATTACAAAGTGTTATGAAAGTTATAAGCTGTTAACTAGTTTTTAACCGTTCTGCACTGTTTTAGAAAAATCATACGAAGTCGAAAACTAAATCCGTAAATTCTGAGAGTTCCCAAAATGTGCTTAGTTTATTCATAATTTTTATTATGATTTTTATAAGTCTTTAACTTGTGTTAAAATGTTCATATTCACAGACTGGTCCGAATTCGTTTCTGAAATGATAGGCAGTTTTGTAAAAATCACCATAAATCGTATGGAGATGTGCAAGTAGTCATTTTAATGGTATGAAGCTGAAATACTTGCATATTAAACAGTTCTGAAAGATATTAAGTTTAAGATAGTCAAAACAGTCCGTGAATAAGACTCAACTTTTCTGATGAAAGCTGTTGTTTGAGTTTAGTTAAGTTTTTAGTATTTTAACTTGTATTCCCCCCTGAAAACTGAAGAAAACATGAAAATGTAAGTGTATGAACTCACCTTAGACTGTCCGTTATTACTTTCTTGATATCACTTCCCAATAATAACTACTAACGAAAAACTATTAAGAAAATGAAAAATTGTCTTTAAAACGAATCAGAGTAAGATAAACTCAGGAGTATAGAGAAGAAAACGCAAACCGTAATTCACCGATTGAATTTGCATCGAGAAGGTCTAAGAACAACACGCATAATCTCAGAACAGATCCAAAAATTCTTCATGTCGTTAAGCACAAACCCCATGAGTGACCCCTTCCTTTCCTCCTTTCCCGCAAAAGGACACATACTCTCAAGCAAAGGTCAAAATGTTGTATAGTTGAGAGAAGTCCCCTATCATGTGCCTGGAACAGCCACTACCAACAAACCGAAGTCTGATGATATGCCTCCATAGCTGCTCCGACACAGAGCAAGATCAGTTGGTCTTTGGAACCCAGTCCATTTTGAAACTGGGTCGACCTTTGTCATCAACACATGATACCTTCTCCCATGACATGTCCTGTTTATCACAAACAGAAGATGTAGAAATATTAGAATCATTAGGAGATTTAGGAGATTGAGCCTTTGGTACCCATTGGTAGTTGGGTTTAACCCATTTCTTTTTCGATCCGATGTGTGCCTCGGCACTTGATTTGGAACTTGAAGCCGATCTTCGAGATGACTTTGACCTAGTCGGTCTTTGTTTCGTTGGACCATCTCTTGGATTGGACTTCTTGGCTGGCATTCCCTTCTTGCCTTTGGGATTTGGATTCTTGACCTTTTGTGCGTTCCAGTCACCATTGCGCGATTGTGACCTGGAAGGGTTTCTTTTGAAGTATCTCCCACTTGGCGCGTTCTGCCAGCCTTGTGCATAGAAGGGAACGTATGCGCGATTAGTACAATTTCTGGCCATGTGTCCAGGTGTTCCACAATGAAAACAAGTCTTTTTCTTCACTGTGAAGTTATTTCTTCCTGCCCCTGGTGGCGTATCCTTGCCTTGTCTCTTATTGTTCCCACAAGCACAATTACAACAGGCACCCTGTTTCACTGTAATTGGTGGCCTGTATTTCTCAACAACAGGTTGATCAGAAGCATCTGAGTTCGAAGCAACAGATTCAGAGTTTAAAGAGATATTGGTTTGTTCAATGGTTTTCTCCTTGTTCTCATCTTCTGCTACTTTACTATCAGACACACTCTCTTCAGCTGCTTGCTTGGATTGGCTTAGTGGTTGATCTGCATAGGAAGTAGAAGCATTAGTATTTTTCAACCTGAATACCACCTGACACAAATCCAGATGGTTTGCCATAAACCATGAATGGTTCGTTGGCAATCTCCTCTTTAGACAAAGGGTGATACTGATATGTGTGATTGAAAGGAGGAGGTACATTATCGTATCCTAAACCCTTTTGCTGGTTATTTTTAAATTGCAAGCAATGATCTATCATGTTCGCAACTACTTCGCTTGACACATCAAACTTTTTAAAATCAAAATCTGCAGTTTCAAATTTGCTTTTTAATGTGTCAAGCTCAGCAGTTAACTCAGCAAGTTGTCTCTTAACATAGTCATAATTTTCACATTTGTTACTATAATCTTCTTGAAGCCTCCTAAAGTCTTTGGTTTTTGCTTCTAATTCAGCCTTTAGGGGTTTCTGTCCTTTCCTGAGTTGATATCCTTCATATCGCAGGCCCTCAACTTCTCTTTTTAATAAATCAATTTGTTCACGAAGAAGTTTAATTGTAGGTTCACATGATTGAGAGCATGAAACTTCATTGACCGGGATGTTTGCGGAACTCATTGTTTTTCCACACTTCAAAGCATCAAGTTCTTCAATTACAGCAGCAAGACTAAGATGATTGAGATCTTTTGTCTTCTTGATGACAGCTACGTTCATATCCCACGATTTTCGGAAGTGAATTCAATAGCTTTTTGTTTATCTCAGATTTGGTCAAGAAGATCCCATCTATATTCATCTCAGTAGTGAGTGTGCTAAATCGCTGCAACTGAGCTTCCAGGGTTTCTCCAGGGATATAGTTGAACATGTTGAAGTTTTGTCTTAACATATCCTGACGACTCTCTTTCATGTCTTCAATTCCCTCGTAGACCTCAAAAACCATTAAAAACACAACTAGAAGCCAAAATCAAACTTAAAAGTCAAACTTAAATTTAAAAATGCCCTTTGACTATAAACCTCAAAAGTCAACCTTAAAAGTCAAATTTAAAAAGTCAAACTCAAAAGTCAAACTTAAAAGTCAAACCGAAAAGCTAAATTTGAAAATTTAAAAGTTAAACGAGAAAGTCAAAGTTTAAAGTCAAATGTCAAACTTTAAAAGTCAAAGTCAAAATTTTAAGTAAAAAGTCAAAAATAGAAGTCAAAATTTAAAAACTAAAATTTTTGGTTGAAAATGGAACTTAAAAATAAAAAGAAATTGATTTTGGGGTTAAAAGTGTAAAAATGCGAAATAAGGAACCGAACAGGACTGCTTTTGAATTAAATTTCGAAGCAATGAACCAAGAGACTTCCTAGACCAACTGCTAAGGCGCGATGGAGGGAAGAATGGGAGACACAGGTTCGATCCCAGGCATCCTCAATTTCGCTTCCTTTTTTTTTAAATAAAGGCGCGCCTGTGAGGACTCCTGCTGGCCGCGAACTTCGGACTCGCTGAACAAGGCTCGAACACGCTGCTGACCACAAACTCTCGCACCGTAAGTTCACCGACGACCGCAAACTCTGAGGCCGTAAACTCCGAGGCCTCGGACCGTAAACCGTTTTCGGCCGTAAACTCCGACTCCGACTGTAAACTCCTCGGAAACCCTATCTGCTGGCCGTACACACCGCCACCCCCTCGCTGGTTACGACCAAAAACATCGATTTTTGCCCCTTTTTGCTCCAAAACTCGATCAAAAACTCATTTTTATGAAAAACGCGAAGAACAAACCCCCCTTAATTTTCAGAGATCTATCCAAAAACGCAAAAATCTTTTGAAAATAAGATCAAATAAGCTCCAGATCTGACAAACTTGACTGATACAATCCAAGCTCTGATACCAATTGTAAGTCCCTAATCTGCTTGTGTATCAATCAGATCCGTTTGATGGTGCGGAATCCCAATCAAACGGATGATGTCAGATCAAATAGAAGAGAAGGAGAAGAAGAATAATATGAATTTCAATGTATTGATGAATAGAATGATGATCCTTTACATGAGATTCACACACACTAACACACACGTGTTCTTCTCTCTAGTTTCTCTCTCTAGAACACCTTAGAATACACACACATAAGCTCCTCTAGACCATACACTCTCTATGACCCCTAACCCTATATATAGTTGGGAAGCATGGACCGTAAACAGGTTTACGGCCGTAATCCTGTTTATGGTCGTAAACACAACCGCAAACATTGACCGTAAACACATATATGACCGTAAACACTGAGTTGTTTACGGTCCTAGACATAAAAATACATTTTCCTAGAAAAGCAAAGTATAAACCATATTTTTGACCCAACACAATATGTTTTCAAATGTATCACACATCATCACAAACCAAATGTCTCATACATCATCACAAACCAAAACATCTGAAAAATGTCCAAACTAAAGAAATTCAAACTTTTTTCTATATGGTATTATTGAACTTTATTGAAATACGAAAAAAAAATCGATATATATTTCTAGACACAACTATGCACTTTGTACCTTGGAGTTATTCAACAATGTCAAACATTTCCTTGAATTATGCCCTTTAACCCTACATGTTTTGCATGATCTTGATTGCTTGTTACCTTGAATAGTAGCCTTCTCCAAAGCACTTTTTAAATGTTTTCATGTATCAGAACCTTTATTCTTCACCATAGGTGGATTTTCAACATCAACAACTTCAGGATTCATAGTAGCTCCGTAAAGCTTATCAACATGAGCTTCTTTTGTAACCGGTGATTCATCTGAACCTTGTTCACCAATATCAGTCATAAACACTTCTAGCTTTTGCATGAACTCTTCTAACTTCTTGTCATCATTACTTAATGAAGACAAACATTGATCAAGCATGGAAAAAGCTTTGTATGCAACCTTCTGAACATTTCCAGACGAATCACCATATCTAAAAGTCCTTCTTTGTGGTGAGGATAATATCTCTTCTCCATCTCTTAAGAATGTATCTTGACGGAATCTCTTGTATGTCATAAATCTTTAGAATACAGAAGATGTGTCTACAAAAAATTCCAAACCGCTCAAAAAGCATGCATGAACATTTCACCGTTAGATCTTCTCTGTTGAATTCAACCTGTTTCAAAAGTATTAGGATATTAAGTATATTCTAAAAAGAAAAATTAGAATAATATAAAAAAATTAAAGACAATAATTTAGTAATAAAAATTATAATATTAGAATTATAACATGTCAACATTACCTCGAAATCACCTTCACTTGTGTTAAAATTCCATTCACTATCGATGTCAACTTTTTCTTCTTTTTCAACTAATATCTTCTTCTTTGATAGATTTGTCTTTTTATGTTTGACAATGCATATGTCGGAAACAACGCCTGAAGTAACACTCTTCTGTGAACAAGAAACAAGTGAATGAAGAATCTCCCTCTGCACCATGAGAAAAATAGTCTTGGTGTATACCATAGATGCATGTTTCTCCATATCTTCAAAAGGTGTTTTGATGATTGGAATTATAGTATATGTATCAAAATCAAATTTGATCTGACTATTCCATTGCCTTTCCATAACAAAATCAAAAGCATTCATGAAATTGTTTAACGTATAACCATGATGCGATACCCTATTGAATGCGGAATTCTCACTTTCCGACCGAGAAGTTGTTCTCATTAGACCCGAAATCGGTACATCTTTAAAATAGGCTGGAATCCAACTGCTTCTCAAATCAAACATATCTTTCATCTATTTATTATCGTGTAACTTATATTTTACCATTAATGCATTCAATCTCATTTCAAAATCTTTCACAACAATTTTGGAGTCCCATACTATACTATTGAAGTCCGCCTTAAAATCAGATTCATTCATTGTTTCCCAGCTTACCTTCAAAAACAATTCATATATTATTCTGTTAGAATATAATACATTATAAAAAGGCATTTCATTTAATATATTATTCTAATTAAAAAATATTTTATTTAATATTCTGATAAGAATATAATACAGTATAAAAAGGCATTTCATTTAATATATTATTCTAATTACAAAAAATATTTCATTTAATATTCTGATAAGAAAATAACAATAATGTCATATTTATATTGATAAAAATATAAAAATAATGTTAGTACCTTCAATGGAAGTTTACTTGTGATATGCCACATACAAAACCTATGTTTTGTGTGTGGCAATACTATCTCAATAGCTTTTTTCATTGTTGGATCTTGATCAGTCACGACCATGATTGGTGCTTTTCCAAAACACTTCAAGAATGACCGAAGTAACCAAATATAGGAATTTGTATCTTCTCTACACAACAAACCAGCTCCAAATGTCATGCACCTTTTGTGATTATCAATGCCACTAAAAGTTACAAATACCATACAATACCTAAAAAAACACAAAAGAAGACCATTAGAATATATAACTAAAAAATGTTTATAATTCTAGAATAAATGCCTATTTGTACGATATGTTGCGTCAAACGAAACAACATCCCCAAATAACTCAAGGTTTTGTTTTGAAGTGTCGTCGGCCCAAAAGAGAGCATTTAACTGCTTCTTGTCACATCTGTATTTGTATGTAAAATTTGTAACATTCTCTTTACGATTCTGAAGCTTTGTAATCAACAAATTTACATCAGTGCCCCCAATGCGACAATTTATATCCCTTGTAAAATTTTTGCAATCTATCTCTAGTCCACCAACAAATTTACATCCTCCTTTTATAACGCATATTAGCCTATATGTTGTAGTTGCCCCCACCTTTGCACTCGAAAGCTTATGTATAAAAGCTTTGTCAACAACATACAACTGATGTTTAGCTCGTGAAAGATGCATATAATCTTGATTGATCAATTTGTGGTTGTGTTGTTGTTCAAAGCGCCACAGGTAAACTTCTAAAGAATCTAGTATAACTTTGAATGCAACAAAGGCTTTGCAATTTGTGCGTTTACAATTACAATTTCTCAATTGCTTGTTATGATTATCACTAATCGTTTCTAAGGTAGAAGTGTTTGACAATCCCCCTCTATTTCATATAAAATATTTCGAAGTTGTGATTCCATTTTTTTCCTCTCTGTTTATTTTCTAATATCAAAACCAGATCTTAATGCATATCCTTTATTCCACTTAATAGCATCTTTGATATCTTTAAAAATTGAACCCATATGAGGTATCCACCTAGCTTCAACCTCTGGAATCCAAAAGAAAGAACCATCAGCTCCAATAAATTGTTTGCAAGAGCCATATTGTGCTGCAACATTGTCACTTTGAACTACAAAAAAGAATATACCACCATGTTAACATATAATCAGAATAATTTGCATTCATATTACTGTAATCATAATATGCAGTAACGTTAACTTATCAGCAACATCATTCTATAAGAATAACCGATATCAGTAACGGAATTACCTTGGATTTCCGATTGATTTTCATCATTATGTAGAATCTCTGAATCACCAGAACATTGATGATTTTTATCATCGTAATGATCATTTCCGATGTCATTCATATCTAAATCATCCATAACTGTTACTAGGTTAAAATTTGAATATGTTATATGCAACTAACAATGAAAGCAATGAAAACTCAAACCTTGATCAATTGATAAAATCATGATATAAAGTAAAATTTAACAAAATTACCTTACGTTTCCGATTGATTTTCCTCATTATGAAGAATCTCTGAATCATTAGAACCGAACTGATGATTTTCTTCATCTAGATGATTGTTTTCGATGTCATGCATATCCAAATCATCCATAACTGTTATCATTATTGATATATAAATGTATGTACAATATTCTATAAGAATAACATGCACTCTCATGAACTTATCACTAAGATGATGTTAATGAAAAGTAAATAGATGATGTTAATCAAAAGAAAACAGATGACATATTGCTGAAAAACATAATGATTGAATGAAAATTAAAAATCAAACAATGAAATAGATGATGCATTGTCAAATAACATATTATAGATTAAATTGTTTTCTAGGTCAAACAAATTCAACAACAAATGATGTTTGATTGCTGAATTGGATGTCTCAACAACATAAGATATTTGATTGCTGAAATCACAAATCATACATATATAAATTGGAGAAATCGATAATAACTTAATGATTCAATTCATGAACTAGGTTAAAAATTGAATATGTTATATGCAAGTAATAGTGAAATCGATGAAAACTCAAACCTTGATCAATTGACGATTTCATGATGTTGAGTAAAATTCACAGCTTGAAAGATCGTAAACAATTGTTGAAGATGAAGATTAGCAGAAATCGTTGAACACTTGAACCTCTACCGAAATCGATGATTACAGAGTTAAAATTGATCAAAATCTTCTAATGTCGATACATGAACATAAACATCAATCACTCAGATTATCAATTGCAGATGTAGAAGAATCAAGAACATGAACTCGAAAAACACATTTAAAAGCTATGATTTAGCATCGTTCGATCAATGTCCAAATCAAATCGATTATCGGTTGAAAGAATATAAGATTCGAGATAGAATATCGATCAAATTGAATTGAAGAACAAGGAATGTTGATTCATCGAATAAATTGGTAGAAAACCGGAACAGATGAGATGATTTCTTAATGACGTGAAAATTAAGCTAACTTGATATCTGATCATCTTAAATTTAACCTAGTGACTAATCTACCCTAATTAACTAATCAGTTAGATTAATTAGTGTTAATCCCTTTTTTTTTATGAGCCAAAAGATCAAATTTGATCAAAGGCTAAGATTTGGTCCCCATGCCTCACAAAATATAGGTGGTCTCAAATGAACCTATATATATATATATATATATATATATATATATATATATATATATATATATATATATATATATATATATATATAGGAGTAGGATCAAATGAGAACACCAAAAAGGTTGAGAACGTGAGAACAAAGTATATTCATTTGTGATTCCATGTATTCATTTGTGGAGGAATGATAAATTTTTACGCCTTTAATTTCAATTGAAAAGAAAAAGCATATTCATGTTGATTGTGCGTAAAAATTTATCATTTCTCTACAAATGAATACATGGAATCACAAATGAATATACTTGTTCTCGCGTTCTTAACCTTTTAGGTGTTCTCATTTGATCTTTTCCCATATATATATATATATATATATATATATATATATATATATATATATATATATATATATATATATATATATATATATATATATCTATATATATATATATGTATATATATAGGCTTAGGTTATTCTATTCGAACTAATTATTATATATATTGGATGTTATGAGAATTACTAAGAGAATAAGTTGTTTAGGAATGCGAATACGTTCAACCTTACAAGAATATCGTCATATTCATGCATTCTCGTTAATTTTTTTTTTGTTCTCACACATCATTTTTCACTCATTTTCATTCTGACAGAATACGACCCAATAAAACATTCTGACAACATTCTGACATAAATGAGAATAATAATAATAAGTGTATAACAACCTTATAGACGATTTAATTAGTGAGAATGTGTGTTAATGACAATAGTTATGTAAGATTGAACGTATTTATATTATCAAACAACATATTTTCTTTATCATTCTCCTAGCATACGATAGATGTAAAATAATTAGTTAGAATACTTGAACATCTCTCTCTCTCTCTCTCTCTCTATATATATATATATATATATATATATATATATATATATATATATATATATATATATATATATATATATATATAGTAGCTGTTTACTCGCGCAAAGCAGCGGGTGGAGAATAATTTGTTTTGGCATCTAATTTTTTTTTTCAATGGACAATTATTAATTTAAATAGAATTATATTGCTTTTAATTTAAATAGAAGTATATTGCTTTTTAGAGGGTTAATACAAAAATAGCAATTTAAAATTGTTCATTACAGCCGTCTACGTTTAATACAACTATTTTTTTTTTTGCATTTAAAATTGTTTTAAATGGAAGTAAAAAACTTTTTTGAGGTTTAAATGCAAAAAATTGCAATTTAATTTTTCTTATTTATTCATACCGATGCTTACTTTGATTATGACAATTTTTAGGCATTTAACCCTGTTTTAAATGGAATTATATTGTTTTTCCCATCATTTTCAAAGCTTTATTCCATTCATAAATCATTTATAGATTCACAATTTCTCTAAGATAATATCATATTATATAATTTCATATGCATAAGTCACCGAAAACATTTTCAAATGCGATGTCTAAATATTCAATACAACAAACCAAATATGAACTTGAATAAGATGAATATGCCCTTAAAACCCACTATAAAGTTAAATATTTAAGATATCGAACAAATCACATTAAAAAAAATAACATATTGCATAATTACTATATTTAATTTAAAGAAATTGATAACATTTTGAAAAATTGAAGTTTAGACAAACAAAAATCAAAAGCTAAATCATTAGACACTAAACCAAATGAAACTAAACCAAAAGAAAACATCGATAACATACTAATACATTTATCTTTTAACAGAAGAAAAAGATAACATATGAATACATACACAAACAAATTTAAATGATCATGGCCTCCTGGATTAGGCATGCATTTCATGGCTGCAACCACAAGATTTTGTTTCCATATTTCCACTGCATTAACAACATAATACAGACCATATTCATCCACTCACTCGATTTTTTCTATTAAAAAATTCAAATAGGTTATATGCCTGAAATAATAAAAGATGTTGACTAACATAGATTAAGGAATATCATCTTGGTACTTTAGAATAACAACCAACTTTCAAAGTAGGATGTTATAATAAACAAAGAAATTAAAGTTGGTACTTATTTTAGAGTGGAATTATGGATATTTTAGAAATTAAAGTTGGTTTCAATACATGTAATGGTTTCTAAAACATTAAAAAAGCAACCATCTATCAAATTGAAACTAATAAGAACATTAAATTAGCAACGAACTTTTAAAGTATGATGTTAAATAAATTAAGAAATTGAAGTTGGTTACTATTTTGGAGCAAAACTATGAATTTTTTTTTTAAAAAAAAAACTAACATTGGTTCTATACATGTAATGGTTAAGAAACTTTATAACATAAACCAACTTTCAATTTTCGAAATACAATTAAGAATATATGTTAATAGTCAATACTTACAATGAATGTGCACCTACTTGCAATTAGGTTTGCTGATCAACATGATGAAATCGATCAACATGATGCTTTTATCCAATCCACCTATAGAAAATCAGAAAAGGAATCAATTAAAACTGTAATAAATAATGAAGAGATAAATTAAGAAGAAATGGAACATTATACTTTAAAATAGCAACCAAACTTTTCAAATATGATGCAATAATAAACAAAAAATAGAGTTTGATGTGTGTTATATCAACAAAAAGGCTGCCGAGAAAATGCTAATTTTAGGATAACTTTTCTGGACATTTTTTTTATGATTCTGTTAGGTGACTTTGGGCAACCGTTGTGGTGAAATTTCTTTTTTGAAGTCTTTAACATGAAACATCATGACAAAAGCCTGATTTAAATCAATAAGCACATTTTTTGCTAAAAAGAAAATGTAAATTAAAGAACATGCTTTCTATTCATGGTAAACTACCACCAAATTCACATCTCACGGCTTTCAACGTTTAAGTCCCTGAAAAGAAATGATCCACCTCTTTATCTGTAAAAAAAAGTTGGAAGGACTTAAATACTATTGAAAGAAACAAAATACAAGAACTTTAAGCAAATCTCACCGTATAAATAGATCATGGGACATAAGATATAGCTATTCTTGTCCACATTAGAACTTATCCATACATGATATTAACATTATATGATCTCAAAGTCAAATCAATAATTGACTAAATAATCTTGTTTCGTTTTCCCAATGTTGGATGGGGATAGATAAATCCAAATAAAAAACAAACCCACAAAAATAACATAATTTCTCATATAAAGCCAAAGATAAAAAGAGGGGAGTGGTTGCATACCCACAAGAAAAAAATATCCAAGCTTGTAATTTTCTTATACGTGCCTAATAATAGAATTTCATTTCCTGGAAAATCACCAAAAAACAAAAATGATAACAATATATAGTCAGAGGGAATTAGTCTCTTCTAAGACATGTAAAACCAAAACTAATATTGTTATCAAACCTTTATAGAGTGAGGATGCAAGAAAATAAGCATATCTTAAAGTCTGATAGTGAATCTTTGTTTCCCACCAAAGCATAGCCAGAAATTTGTGCTTCATGTTCCTTCGTTTTGGATTTTTGCTGTTAAACCGGCACACACATAGTGAAACACACAATAAATATATCCAATACACACAGTTTAAAATAAAGCATATAGCAAAAATCAAAATCATATGTTCCAACTACCATTTGAAACCTCATGAATAAATGTCGTAATTGTGCATAGAGAAGATATAGAGGAGTAAGTGAAAGTGAAACATTATTGATTTGGAGAGGGAGAAAGATTGATAGAGATGTAGTGTTGCAGCGATGAAAACAGGAGACGACAGTTTGGTAACTTCATATGATTGTTGTTGGTGTTTGTATGAGAATGGTGCGACGGCGGAGACAGATGGGTGGCGTATACCTTAAATTTATTAGATAGGAAGACGGAAAGGGTGGGGGGAGAAGCAGAGTTTTCAGATTTGAGGTTCATTAATTATGAAGATATAGGCGGAGGACGGTGGTGAATGGTGAGACGAAATCTTACTGTAGAAGGACATGCGTATGCGTTGCTTGGTATCAGATTGTGTGGAGTATGTAGGCTTTATAACATTTGTTGAAATTATATAGGTGATTTGTGGTTTCAACAAAAAAATAGAAAACAATATCCCGATTTCTTCAAGAAATCGACGATTTCAGTGTATTTGGGGGAGAGAAAAAAAGGAAAACAGAAGAACAGTATATACCTGAAGCGACATCTGTTGTCGTCGGAGGTTTGGAGGGTAATGAAGGAGATGCGAAGGTGTGCAAGGTGGAGCAGCGACTGACAACGTAGTAGGAGGCCAAAGCTGGGTTTTTTTTAAAGATGATGTAATCACTGGTGGTAAAGATCGACGGCTAGGGTTTCTGGAGAGACCCATGATAGATCAATTTGATGAGGGATTAAAGGGAACTTCTATTAAAATGTCTCTTCAAGTTTATATGAATCAAATGAACAGAAACTGAAATTATGACATATGAGGAAATGCCAAGATAAGTGAATGAACCAGGTCAAAACAACTGCTCCTTAATAAGAGAGGGGAGATAAGAGTTCCTTGTTTCAATAGCCGAACAAATAATTTCAATGCATAAACTTGTTGTAAATAATGTTTTATGTCTTGTACCTCTTAAAATTCAGCAAAACATGGTAAATGATTTTTAAGGTATATAGATATATGACATTCCCAAGAAGTGGCACATGAAAGATGACCCCACCACATCTATAGAGACGAGAAAATTGATGAAATTTAGCTAAAATTTGATCTATGTAGTATTTGTTTATTTTTCATATTTTTGTAATTTTATGTAATTGACATAGATAGATAATTTGTGATGACGTAATGCCTCAAACAAGGCTTCTTCTTTTCTACCAAGCTTCCTTTTTACACGGTTTTCTGGGTGTAGTGTACAGTGTACTACGTATATAATACTGCACCGTCTAAATTCTAAATCTAACACTTATCTGCAGTATGTATTCCGGCAGCGCATCTCCATCTTCTTTATCAACGATTAGAAAGACCACTTATTGGGAACAGCTCCAGGTCAAATCCACCATAGATGGTCAACCTCTGTGGTATAAAGATTTTATGAACAAACCCATGGACAGCCATGCCACAATGGACATCGAAAGTTGGACCTGTGAGATGAGACCTCAGTCAGAGACTGACAAGTCGTACAGCAGTGGTGGTCAAAGTCAACCACCGTCCCTTGGAGACGTGAGGCAAATCGTCGTTTCTGAACCTTCTGGCAGTAATCATATTTATAGCGATGGACAACCACCGTCAGTCAACGACGTAGGTAGACGAGAACCATCTCAAAGTGATGCATCCTGCAACCAATATGAGGATCCTGATGAACATGAAGTTCAACAGGTTATATCTGAATTAAATGATGGGGTATATGATTTTTAAAACATTATAATCCTGAATCTGAGTATGTTTTTTCAAGCCTCTCATTTAATTTTTGGATAAAACCACGAACTTTGAGCTACTTTTGGTTTGGGTTCATGTTGTGCAAAAACCTAGAAGTACATCTTAGAGGATTCATTTTCAACTCTAAAATTAATGATGTTACTTAGAAGTTATATCCACACCATATATATACTGCTGAGTCCATCTTAATTAGGAGTTAAAACTGTTGTTTGGATTCATGTAGGTCTACAAGAGAGGAGTAGCTGGAAGATCAAATGATATTAATGCATCCTCAGGATATAATGAGATTAAACAAGACGTGCTCTCTAACTTTGGCTCGAAGGTTTCCCAGTCTTTTGAAATTCCACATATGACTTTCAACTCTACTGATTCGCCTATAAACGATGGTGGCTTTTTGAACGGTGGTGATTGGGCCCCACCACCACAACAGTTTCAGCGAATTGGGACTTATATCATGGTTTGATAATAACTACTGTCAGCATTATCTGTATATTTGTGTAGTGTAAGGGCTTGTTATGTCATTTTCCGGTAGGATTGAAAATAGGATTCATTCCACTAAGTATGATATATGGTGAAGTCTTGAATAGATATACTGAAGCAGAACAGTTTATGTTATGTTAACTCCAAATAAGAAGATATGAAATGAATGGATATGTAAGCTAAGACAGATATCTTATCTCTCGTATGTGCAAAGAATACGAATGCATTCATCATCCAATCATGGAAAATAGCCAAGAAAACTTGTCTAGCTCCATCATGTATTCATGTCGTGTGTTTTTTTCTATCTTTTCTATATACTAGAAGTCTTAGAAGTTTAAGGTGTTTTTTGGATTCATGTAGGTCTACAAGAGTGGAGCAATTGCACGATTGATTGATATTAGTGCATATTCTGGGTATCACGAGCTTAAAAAAGACCTAGCTCGAATCTTTGGTATTGAGGGTCAACTGGATGATCAACAGAGAAATAGCTGGAAACTTGTCTTTGTGGATATTGATGAAGACGTTCTCATTGTGGGGGATGATCCATGGCAGTAAGTCCACAGTCTACCTAATATGTATCATAAACTATCTCCATCCCATTAAAATTATGTTTTTTCATTGTATTTTAATTATCCTTTCAGGCCGACTCCAATGGGGAGTTTAATAGAGGGTTTAATGGAAAGTTTAATCTTATTAAACTCAAAATCTTCATTAGAAAAATGATTAGGATTCAATGGAATGAAAAGTTTAATCCTTATTGAACTCTATACTCTCTCCTCGCACACACACAAATATATATATATATATATATATATATATATATATATATATATTATTTTTTACCTCAAATTTGTAATTTGTAAGTTTTAATTAATGTTAATTTTAATTGTATTTAATTTTTAATTTTATGTTAATTAATTAATTAAAAATAACAATAAATAAAAAGAAAATGATAAATGATGTGTTGTATAGAGTTTAAGAGTTTAATAGGTAAAGTTGTATAATGAGTTGAATATATATGTGTCAATTCATTAAACTCATATGAGTTAAATGCATTGGAGATGGCTTGACAACAAACAAACTTTTAGATCTAGGAACCAAAATTTGGTTTTGATAAGAACAATGGGTAGGTTGGTAATTGGCACAGACTTGTCAGAAACTAAGTAAGTTGGTTTTACTTGAATCACTCACTTAATCAAGGTAAAGTAAGATGACGGTAAGTCATATAAGGGAGGAGGGAGTAATTCCCTTCCAACCTACTGAACCCACTATCACATTAATTTTTGTCTCTTCTTTTTCTCCATCTTTTCCATCCACAACACACAGAAATCTTATATTTTTCAACCCACTCAATTAAAAAAATACAAAACAACTAAGGTACAAGTTTTAAAACACATGGTACAAGAGAAAACGAAAGAGAGAAAGTAGAGAGAGATGATGAAGTGGGTTAGTGAAACCAATTAAACAACTCGTTGAAGCGGGAGTGGTAAACGGCCGTAACTCTATTGCTAATTAAGATTTTACCTTCATTGTTTTGTATTTTTTTAATTGAACGGGTTAAGTGGGTTCAAAATGATAGAGTTTCCATGTATTGTGGGTTGAGAAAGATGAAGAAAAATAAAAAAAAAAAGGTGATGTGTCAGTGGGCTCAGTGGGTTGGGAGGGAATGACTCCCTCCTCCCTAAGAGCATGCCATGGGCTCACTAGTGTTACACTTAGGTAGGTGGCGTGGAACAAAAAGTGAAAAATTTCATCACCCGTCATGCATGGTTCATTTCATATTTCTGATAGTATATTATAGTTAAAAATTAAATTTTCATGTATGCTTTGCAGGGAGTTTGTACTCTGCGTAAGCTACATCAAGATCTTATCTCCTCAAGAAGTACAGCAAATGAGCTTGGATGGCGATTTTGGCGGGAATAGTGTTACCCCAAATCAAGCTTGCGGCAGTTTTCCGGTAAACTTTAATGACCATATATCCAAGTTTGTGGAGTTGTTCTATCGTCAGTCATTATGAGGTATTTAGCCATGAATAGGTCCACTATCTTGCATGTATGGGGATAGGGATGGAATTGTCGGTTGTTAGTTGTTAATGTAACTGTTAATCGCATCAAATTACTATCGACCACAGTCATTATATCGTATATATAAGCATATAACATCACGTCACCAATCAATACGACAATAAAAATAATATAACAAGTAATGGAATAATCTGAATTGGTTTATACTGATGAGTGTTCAAAACTATCTATTTGCCTCTACTGCAATATAGGAAAACCAACTACACAATTGCCTACATTTATTATAAATTTAATAAGGTACAATTATACTTTTGAGTTAGAATTTACCTAGTGTTTACACCAATCTGCCAAGTATAAGACTCAACCGAAAAATACCTTGACGAAACAGATTCCAGAATCGACCTGGACAGCAGCCAGATTGAGTCAAGCTTGAAACTCGGCTGACTGATTCTGGAAAGTTGGTCGATTGACCCCAAAAACTTTGTTGACTAAGTTATGATCTTCTTCCAGAATACATTCGAATTGTAATAAAAGTGGTCTAAAATGAACTAGAAACACCAAATTATATGCTGGAAAAAAATCAAGTAATTCGGACTTCATATGAGTGAGTTATGTATATTTGAAAAAGCGGGATAGAATATAAAAACTAGGGTTATTGTTGGCAAAGAAACTTTTTCCAAATGGTTTAAAAGGCCCAAGTTTTTTTCTTGCATTCTGAGGAATTAAATTTAAATATTATGGTTTAAAATGCCATGCAACTTTAAAAATGTCCTTGAGCTAATTGTGGAGTAACCTCAACTTTAAAATTATGGTTTAAATGTCCTTGAGCTAATTATGAAGGAGTAACCTGGGGTGTTACCCCTTGACTAGTCATGCCACGTAATAGAATGAATTCACCACTTGCCTAATCATATGCCAACTAATACATTTAACTCCAACTCAGTTTAAAACTTTGACACCATATTCTAACTCAGTTAACTTTCGTACCACCACCATGCTGGAGATAGATCTGTCTATCGGAGAACAACACAAATACTCCATATAAAAGAAGGTTCATCTCATAACTTATGAGTGAATGTCATTGTACCCCCTCCAACTATCAATTTGTATTTTAAAAGGTCATTCATGTTGTTGTTATTATTATTATTATTATTATTATTATTTGCATCGTAAGGGCATGAACTTCATTTTTTTAGGTTTTAATATGTCCTTTTATAAAAACTGAAGGGGTCTACCTATTACCCAAATCCGAGTAACAGAATACACTGTCATGCATGTCATTAAATGAAATTTGTCAACTCATGTGCCACATAGATAATAAAATTTAGGGCACCTTCACCATTCAGTTAGTTGCCATAACACAACCACCGTCATACCTTCCATCTCTCTCACAGTCCATCATACACCACACTATCCATCTTCCATCACCGTCGCCACCATCAATCTTCCACCACTATACGATTCATTACTCTACACAAAACAAGAACAAAACTCAAAAATCAACATCCCACTTTAATATAATAAACAAATAAGCTTCAAAAGTTAAATAAAAATCAACCTTGTTTACACAAACCTAATCTCCAACTTTCTTGACTTATATTAGTGTTGGACTTCTGGTAGTATAATTTGGAAAAAAAAAAACAGACCCATTTTTGTTGTTTCAAGTGCCTGAAGGGTTTTAAATCCTAATTAGAGCAAAACAATTTTAGTATAACAGAATTGTTGTTGAATGAAGATTAACTGATTGTTCTCCCTTTCTCTCAAACAAAAACCCTAACAAAGCTACGAATCGATCAAAGAAATGTCGTATGTAGATACTCATCACCAGATTTAAGATGAACAACAACAAAACTATAAAAATTAAAAAATAAAATATGGAAGAGGTGAAAGAGATTCCCAGTAAAATGAACCAAAAGAAAAAAAGGAAGCAAAGAAATGTCGATCATGATGGAGCTCCTCCATGATTTAATCTTACAAAGCCATCACCATCCATCTTTAGAGTAAAAATAATAACAATCCATTTAATCACTGACTTAGATCCACCATGTAATTCTCTTTTCATAATCAGCTCAAAATCAAATAAATTTTCATAGTACTAGTATACATCAAGAAAATAGAAGAAACAGAAAAAGAGAGTAATTATATAACAATCCATTTAATCATTGACTTAGATCCACCATGTACTTTCCTTTTCATACTCACCTCAAAATCAAATAAATTTTCATAGTATTAGTAGACATCAAGACAATAGAACAAACAGAAATAAAGAGTAATTATATTTCAATTTGAGTATATTAAAAAATAACCTCCATACTGGTATGAAATTCTGGCTTCTCTTTGATGGTGGTAAAATGCCCTAATTTCATATGAAGGGAGAACGAATGAGAGAGGAGAGAGAAAGTTGGAGGTGGTATAGGGGATCAACCAAGCACAATCTTGCTTCTTAGGTTATGGGGAGTGGGTGCGGTCTTACCACACTTTAGCCACGGTTTCAAGGAGGAACACCAACCCTTGACCGCGGTTTTGAGTATGGCTTGACCGCATGCGGGAGTAGCAGGTTGCTCTCTCTCTCTCTCTCTCTCACACACAGCAAACCATTTTTCAATTATTTTGATAGTCTTCTTAATCTTTTTAATCCATTCTTCATGCTTTTGGATTTTCTTTTTATTAAGGTCTATCCATTCTTGAGCTTGTTTGCATTCCGATGCAATAACTTTACAACGTTGGCTGAGAAGTCGGGATGACTAATTATCTTGTTTGTGTTGTTCTTCAATCATTTTCAATTCTTGAAAACTTTCATCTGACATATATGGGCTTTCTGAAGAGGGTGTAACAAATGGGTCGAGTGGATCACAATAGTAACAATCTACTTCGTCGCATCATCAAATTTCGAACTTTGAGGATGAACTCATAATAAAGTTGAGATTATATATAGTATTTTTAATAAGAAAATGATTGTTAATGTCGTATTTATACATCCTAGTAATCTGCAAATCATAGTCCAAAGGCAACCATTTCATAGTTAAAGATGGAATTCATAGATGATTGTTTGACATGACAAGTCATTGTAGTAACCTGCAAATCATAGTCCAACTTGGAAATGACTACACATAAATGAATGTTTGACATGATAACTCACAGTACTACACAAAGATTCCACTTGATTGATCAAGTTCTTACTAACTCCTTTTTTTATATTATAAATAGATGTTTAATCTATATGAAACGAACACCCATATCATCTATACGAAACAAACACCCATATTTAGAAATGTCGTCCAATGTAGCAACTTCTTCGAATGCAGTAGCTGGTTCCAATTCTCCACGACCATGGACGACAAGCGAGTTAATTATTGGCTGTAACACAATTTTGGATTATCGTTAAGGAGGGTCTAACACCACTGGCTCCCCCGTATTGTCTGGTAGGTGATGAATGGACCTGCATAACAACTTTGTTCAACCATTAGATAGGAGAAGGACAACACTGGCTACAATCATATATTGTCAGTAAATCGTTGGATGTAAAGGGAGAAGTCATAGGGTTCAATCGAGCGTATAATTATGTTAAAAATACCAAAACTTATTATGCAGACGCCGAAGAGCTTATGGAAATTGTTAAAGATTTTTACATTTTGGAGCATGAAGGTAGTGACTTCGAGTATGAGGACGTTTGGAATCTTGTTAAAAATAATCAGTATTTCATATAGACGGCTCTGGTATTATGCTACTTTCATATTTGTAATGTTTTATGTTTTTTTTATGTGTAATGGTTCATGGAATTGTTATTTGTAAGGTTTTATGTGCAATCGAGTATGAGGACGTTTGGAATTGTTATTTGTAATGTAATGTATTGTATTATGTGTAATGCTTCATGGAATGGTTATCTGTAATGTATTTTTTATGTGTAATCGAGTATGAGAATGTTTGGAATATCGTTAAAAATAACCCAACGAGTTTTCATAAATAACATAAAACAGAGGAGGTACATCTAATACAGACGAAATACATATAAATAACCTAGTGCAAACCTAATAGATATAAATAAATATTAAATAAACGGGACATATTTCAAAAATATTCCAAGGGGGTTCATACTGGAATTCCAACCCGTCACTTAATGATTTGTATTCCTCTTTAGCAGCTTCAAATATGACCTCCTCAGTAGAATTTAAACGAGCGTCGTCAATTTTTTTATAAAGACCGTGGAATAATAGAATTTCAGTTTTCATTTCATACCATTTTGCTGCGATATCTACGTTTTCACACTGGTTTTCTGCAGTCGTTCGAGTTTTAGCGTAGAAGATATAGGTTAAACGGGTCCAAAACACTGGATCGTTCCTCTTGTTGGTCTCATACACATGAATATATGCACGACTAAGAACCAAGTACTCCTCAGCAGTACATGGTTTTGAAGTCATTTTTAGCAAAAATAAAAAGAGTAAATTTTTAAAAGTAATATATGAAGAGCTGATATATCTTTAAGTGAAATGATTTTTTCACTGAAAGTAAATTTATAGTAGGTTTTGTGGCAACAATAAACGAAACGTTTTTAATGTCCTTCAAAAGCACATAAGCTTCTACACAAAATCGCAGTCAAATTTTATAATTGGTCTGTAATTCATAGTCCAACTTAACTGAATAACGCAGTGTACTTATTGACAACACAAGACACAAATGTTTGACTTGACAACACAAGACACGACCGTTTGAGTTGACAAGCCATTGCACTGACTGACAACACAAGACATGACTGTTTGAGTTGACAACATAGATGGAGTTACAAAAGGGGGTCACTATAAATAATTGTTCATATCCATATTAATTGTATCAGCTTACAATTTTACATTGCAAATATTGACCCACATGTACCACTCAGATGGAGCATCCAAAAGAAGATAGCATTGGTTCATGCTTGGATCGTAACTGTAGAGGAGGATTTTCCACCAGGTCCGCCAGAAGTTCCCAATGGATCATTTTCGTCTCGTGTCTGTCA